AACATTAAAATTATCGTAAATTGTGCACATTTTCCGAGCTTCGTTATATTTATATAAGTACGACAAGAATTGTCAAAATAGCAAACGGTGATTTTATTTCCGAAACATGCATCAAATCGTTCCCCGTAAGATAAAACAACTCTTTTAAACAAATTATCAATCCTTATTTATCATTTCTGTAAATACATCTGTGACATTTGATCTTTCTTTTTTACGTTAAACAAAATAATATCTTCAAAAATGTATTTCTTAATATAAATTTAAATTTAAATTTGTTTCTGCATAAAGATTCGACTTTAATCAATTATTCCTAATTACGCGGAACAAAAAATATCCGCGAAAAAGAATCCAACGATACGAAATTAAAAATAATATCTTGCCAATTTTATTGTTATCATGTGTCCGATCAAGATTCTCTATTACAATACATTTACAATAATAGAAATAAAATACGGAAGAAAAAAAATATTACGTCAAGAATTAGATCGATTCTTCTTACGGTTATTACAACATTATTTGCAAGTCGGAAACGAAAGTCATAAAATCGCAAGAGGTTTACAATCCCTTGATGCCGATAAAATAAATGCGCAACATCAAACAACAAATTTTCTGAGCATTTATTTCCAACTATTATTTTCTCTACTTCGAGTTATTCCTGCAAAAGGGGTATAAACTAGAGAAAAACATTTATAATAATTGTATTTTGTCGAACGCTATGACAATGGGAATGTATATTAATAATTCAAAGGAAACGTTCAATAACAGAAAATAAAAAACGTTTGAGTTTCTGCAAATACCTTTATAAATAAATCTCGGTTAAAAAGAACTATTCGGCATAATTTAAGTACAAAATTAAGAATATCATTGGGACATGTAGTAACAATTTTGTGAACGAAGTAGGAAGAAGAGTAGGGGATGGAAAACCCCGTTACCTCTCACCTATACTAGGATCTTCTCCTCGAACTCCCTAGTCGGTGACAGTTATAGGACGTCTCGTTTGTAACTGTCGGCACGACAGGATCGAGCTCGAATCCCCGAGATGCATTCTGTGAAAACTAGAGGAAGAGAGGGAGAGGAGTAACATCTGACGAAAAAGAGAAGGAGATGGAGATTCAAGACGACACCAAGTCGGGATACATCGGAAAATATTGGATTCGACGTGTCTCGAGCAGAACGGAAGAGGATAGGGAAAAAATGACGAGTAAAAAGAAAGAAAAATATGGTAAGAAGGAAAAATAGATAGAAAAAAGATAATAAATAATTGGAAGGATGCTAATCGATAAATTATTACTATTTTTAACGGTAGTTGAAGAATCCTTACGGAAGATTAAGTTTCGATGTTATTGAATTACGTGGGGGCTGTGGTGATGGAATATAATTACTAGGAGGAGGAGTAGGAGGGAAAGGAATGAGGAAAAGTATTTTTATTTTCGCCTAGCGTTAGAAGTTAAAAAAATATCGCAAAAGGTATGGAATATACTAACGTAGTTCTTCTAGGAGAAAATTAAGGAATGGTCTGCCCATTAAAATAAGGGTGGCGCACTATGAGAAGCAGTCAGTCGTCTCGAGTGAATGAGAGGTCGCGAGGATAAGATTGCGCATGAGTGGAAATGGAATGAAAAGTCGGAGAGTAGCTCGAAAGACGAAAGGGGAGGGTGTACGGAGTGTGGTGTGGTGAGGTGAGGTGAGGTAAGGTGAGCCAAGGGTGTGCTCGGGTGGTTCGAAGAAGAAGTCGGTCTTCAGGAAGGAAACTGAGGCGAATCGGTTCGTTAAACCTTCCACCGAGAAAGAAAAGTCAACGAGCTCGATACGATTCTGAAGATCCTCTCGCGGTTTCTCGCCCGCGTGTGCCTTGATATCTTTTCCTTTCTATTCTTTAGCACGTACAAGAAAAGCTTTTCATATTTTTCTTCTTTTATCTTCTATCGTTTTTTTTTTCTCTCTCTCTCTCTCTCTTTTACGTTAGAAAAGGAATTCCCAGTTCTATCAAAAATTAGTACGCGACGAAAAGGGGAGAAAAAGGAAAGAAAAAAAAAAAAAAAGAAAAGAAGAAGAAAAAGAGGAAAGAAAACGAACTCCCTTTTCTCAAGAAGAGTAGATATAAATTCAACAAACCGTAGCTAAGAATAGAGATAGTCTATAAGTTAAGTATAGGATAAGTTTAGTTAGTTTATTAATAGAAATAATTGATCGATGATTCTTATAGTCCCAGATGAGAGCAATCAATTAGAATTTTTGTTATTTATGCGAATACAGATATGCGTCTGGGATTATTTATAAAGTTATTACTTTTTTAATTTGATTTTTTTTTTCCAAAATATCGATATTCCCTTTTGTCGCGTGTCGAAAAGGTTTGTTTCCGTTTTCTCATTAAACCGATATATGTAGCTGTTGCATTGACCGACAGGTCATATGAACATTTCACCACGATTTAACGAATCTCATCGAATCATAAACACTCGTGGCGGTACAGAGAGCAAATAATTCGATTATTTGTCACATTAGTATTCATGTAACGCTGACTGCGAGTGGTGCGAATCTCAATAAAATCCCTAATAACATATAACGGACGTCGATAATCGTCGCGTTTCGAGGATACATTCATTATCGCGTCGAGCCACCGCCAGCCACTGCTGACCGTCATATTTCCGCTCGTGTTTCGCATATATTTCTCCTATTATATTTTCTCTTGTTAATAATTATTTCAAATCTCTTCGTGTATCGATCATTAATTATAAACAATACCATGCCATTCAGAAATAAAAATTCTTTTCTCAAAGTAAAAATCAAATATAAAGAATAATCAACGTTTGCGTTACGTCGTTGTACGTATTTTGTAAATGAATGAAATGAATGAGAAAAATGGATTTGATTTTTAAAATCATATATTAATCGTCTTGCAAATAAATCTAATTTATAAAAAAATTTCAGCGAAGAGAAAAAAGGAAGATAATTAAAAAAAAAGGGAAAAAAGATAACTGGTTAAGATATAAAATGGTTAAATCGACAGATGGGATAAGAGGAGGAGAACTGAGGAGAATACCTTGACGGCAATGTGCAAGGTGGTTCCTACGCAACGAGGAACATGGTCAGAAGAAGAACAGACGCGCTGGATGAAGGAACGTGTCCTAACTTCGATGCTGGTTTTCGACCCTCTTGAGGACTTTCTGGCCACCCCTACCCAACCTATCGTCCTTCTACCCTTTCTCAAGTCACCCCTTTAACTTTCGAAACTCTGTGCGCGAAATTCAGCTATTACAAAGCGACAACCGTCGCTCTCTTACTCCCTCTCTCAACTATCCCTCCTGTGTTCCCTTTTAATACGTCGACCGTTGCAGGTGCATCTCCCAAGGATGATCATCCTTTCTTCGTCTTCAAGAGTCATGAGTAGTTTTCACGAGTTGCTGCTATGTAACATGCTACCGAGTTTTAACGACTTGAAAGACGACGTATTTGGAAAGTTTCCTTGGACAAAAGGGGTTTCACCTACTCGTGATTGAATTTTCGAATATACTTTATTGTGTATTATAGAGAAAGTCGATACATTTAGTAGAGATGAAAACTCACGAATAGCCTTCAATTGCTCTCCTAGGAAAATTCAACTCGTTGACCTATTAACCTTATATCTGAACATCCGATCGATCGATTTTCCATCCCTTTATAACATCAATTCTGCCATTACAATATATTGTAGTTTAACAAAGTAAAAGATACTTGTAAATTTTGAAGTAGTTTTCTTGTGTAAAGTTCGAGTACTATTTCAAGATCCATCAGATATGTTGAGTTTAATCGTAAGTAAAAGTTTACGATTATTGCTTCTTAAATCATATTTTCAAAGAATAAACGTAAACGATAGTCCTGGAGAATCAGTATTATCAAATACTTTGTCTCTTAAGACGCGAACAAATAGATACGATTCTTTCTAGAAAAATTAGCTCAAAGAAATAACGACAATAATAATATAAAAAGATATCAAAAGATATCGAATGGAAAGGATATTAAATGTATAAAGGATATCTAAGATTATAATGTACAAACGTCGCTTGCTATAATCGTGTCTTCTTTTATTTCAAAAGAGATCGTTATAAGTTACAGCTTGTCGCATCCTGTATTTCGTATAAAATTGGTACTGAACGTATGGCGAGTCAAGCGGTAGGATTTATAGAGAGGAAACGTATTTCGGGCGAACGAATCTGTCTTTCTCAAATCACAGAAAACGAAAGGATGTATGTGAGTGAGTGAGTGAGTGAGTAAGTATGTGTGAGTCTAAGAGAGAAAGAGAGAGTAGGATTGGTGGGAACTCGAAATGTCTTGCATGACGACGTTAACCAATTCTCATGGTGACGACAGAACTTTCATACGCTTTTCGAAAAAGAGTCAGGAAAGAAGGACGTGGAGAAAATCAATATTCGTATAAGTCGAAGAAAATTCAAATACTGTCAAATTCGATTACAGTTAGTCTACTATCTTTTTCTCGCGTCTTCGACAACACTTCGTCAATCGAGGAAAAATATATCTCAACGTTTTTGAATCTAGTAAAAAGGAAATGCGCGAGGCAAAATTGTACCCAATACATTTCCATTTTTATTTCTGCAAAAAAAAAAAAAAAAGAAAAAATGAAAAAAAGGAAAGCTCTTTCCTACTGTACGCGTATACATATCCATAATATTTTCTGCGAGCTAATTAACGTAGGTTTTTACAAGCATATAAAATCAAATAAAACGGACGAGTAAAATGTGTTATAAAAAAGTTTGTAAACATGTATCGTGTATATAGATACACGTGTAAAAACTAACTCAAGTGTATTTGAATCTCGGAGTGGACGAGAAATTAAAGTAATACGGTTCGATTTTTCTTATAATTAGTTGTAAAATGTGTGTGTGTGTAGTAAAATCAAAGTAAACGAGAAAAAAAACGTAGATTATTGGTTCGATCTTTTTATATTGTCAATAATCAAGAACGATGAGAAAGATAAGTGACAACAAAAAATATTGACTTACCGAATTTCTCATCCAAACTGAAAGAGATACCGGCGACGTAGAAGAAAGCTTCGGTTAGTCCAAGCAATAGCACTATACTCCACATGTTCTTTCTGTATTCCTCGTAATCCTCGTCGCGAAAACCAGACGCGTTTAAGCTTTTCCCGGATGAAAAAAGCGCAAGGTTGAAGCCTCGTAAATCCAACTAAAGGCCACTTAACGACTTCAATGTCAGCTCTCGCCGTTTCGATTTCTCGCTTTTCCGTAAAACGGTAACGGCATGGCGCACCGCGTCGTCCTGAAGACAAACAGTTTTTCTCGATCTTTCTTTGCTCGCGCAAAGATCTAACGATCTCGCTAAGATCATTACTCCCTGAAAACCACCGGGCTGGGGGAAGGTGAGAAATAAGAGAATGAAAAGTTTTCGATGACGTCACCGTCTTCGTTTACACATCGCAAGGAACTTCCTCTTCTACGTTACTTCGTCGAAAATAATTTCCAATAAATTCGAGTTACTCAAAACTGCCAGCTTTTTTTCGGTTCACTTAACTGCGAAGCGACGTTGATTATGTCATCGAGTTGTATATTTAAGAAAAATGCATCTTCCTTTTTGCTTTTTTCTTTTTCTTTCTTCTTCTTTTATTTTTGTAATCTTTTCCCTTTTGCTTTCTTCTTCCTTCTTTAGCTTTTTATATTTGACCTTTTTCTTTTTTGGTTAATTTACCAACGTATTAACGGGCACGATGCGGCAGCTGTGGCTGTCGCTGATGATCCTTTCGTTCCTCTCCTACACATTCGCGCGTACCTCAGTTTTTTGCCTCTAATTAAATACTAATTAAAGCTCCCACACCCTTGACCTTAAGCATACGATAGTGCTCGCGCACGTTTTATCTCCATTCCTTTTCTCCTTTTCACACTTTATATCCAATTTCTAAGCGATCTAAAACGTCAATATTTTTTTATCTCTTAGATTTCTTCTTCTTTCCCTCCTATTTCCTTTTCATTCGTTTTCTCTTCTTCTTATTTTTTTTTTCTTTCTCCTTGATCGCTTCTTCTTCTTATTCTTCTTTACTTTTATGATCACTTTCTCTATCGAATAAATAATTTCTTTTAAATTCGCGACAGAGAGAGAATTGTCGACGATCTCAAAGTATTCCACTCCTTAAAAATTCGATTACGCATTTTAGAAAAATCAACGCGATTTATTTTCAATTCACTCGAAGCATTATCATCATCATCATCATCATCATCATCATCCTCCTCCTCGTCATCGTCGTCATCATCATCATCATCATCATAATCATCATCATCCACGAGTTTCTTACGTATCCTTTCAACAATCGTCGATTTCTTATATTATTCGATTGAGAAAGGAATTCAGTTAAATGAAAATGTCACACACAAATGAATCGTCAAGTTTATATAAATATTTCTTTTTAACTTCTGATCAATTTAACGCTATTCCAACTTGATGAGTCATATTAATATCTAATAGAATATATACACATGTGTATATTAATATATAGACGAAGGAGTAAGATGAAAAAGAAGATAGATAGATAGAGATAGAAATAGATAGAGGGGGTGACCGGTCGATACGATCTTCGCCTTTAGGCCTGACACCGTGAGGAATACAGAATACGACGATATAAAATATCTTCATCGATTCGGGTCATCCCGGCCCATGCATACAGCTTATCGTTGTCCCGAATAAAAGTGCTCGACTACGATAGGAAGAGAGAGAGAGAGAGAGAGAGAGAGAGAGAGAGAGAGAGAATGAAAGAGAAAGAAGGAGGGGAAAAATAGACGAACGGGAAAGCGAGAACGACGGCACACACGCACGTAGGTATAGATAATACATCCACAAGAAGACACCACGACACACAAGGGGGATAGAAGAGAAATTGTCGTGGGGACGGGAAAAGGTCTTTGGTGACTATTTTCGGTTCGTATACAGACACTCGAAACAAGCGATAGACCAGAGAAAGAGAGAGAGAGAGAAAGAGAGAGTGTGTCTGGGTTACTGGTGAACGCACGAGGAAGGAGTCAAGGAAGGGGGTTGAAAAGCCTCGTGAGCAACACTCGCGTTTGATAGCCGCGAAATTCGAGCCTCCTTTGGTATCCAAAAAAAGAATAATAGGAATACGTCTCTCGCACTTAGGTATCTCGGATACACGTCCTCATCGATCGTTTCCCTCCAACCCTTTTCACCCCTTTTTATATTACCACCTCTGGTATAATCGAGCTTCAACAAGCTCCGACGAGCCCCCCTCTGCTAATCCAAATACCGATAATCCATTCTTGAGTCTCAATATTCTTACAACATTTCAACGATATCTTCCTCCATTGTTAATATCATCTTTCAAATCCAAATCCGCGGGATGAATCAACATCCTTTTTTCCTTTTTTTTCTTCTTCTTCTCTCTCTCTCTCTCTCACTGATTTATTCTTATTTCTTTTCCCTCCTATACCAGCCCCAACGAACACATCGTATTATTTCTTCTATTTTTGTTGTTTTTTTAATCGATGAAAAATTGGAAAGAAAAGGAAAATAGTTAGACGTAAGAGTCGCGTTTAGTTTCAGCGAGATAACACGTGTGAACTTGCTAAATAATCGATCGTTATGGATTATACGTGAAAATGTAGATTGTAATGAAGATTTGATAGGAATTTTTTGTTCTCGTCTTCGTTCTTCGTTGAAACTCGATTGTTTACACTTTACTTTAATGATGAATAATTTTAATATGGGGGGGTGGATTTGGGAACAAAAGAGAAACGTAGCTCACAAAAACACGAGATCCTCGACCGACGGCGGACGGTACACTGACGGAAAAGACGAACAAACGGCGCGTCGACGGACGCGCAGCCTGCGAAGCTTCCACAAGAGGTAGCAATGCTGCTAGTGGTGGTGAAGCTGCTGCTGGTGGTGGTGGTGGTGGTGGTGGTGGTGGTGGTGGTGGTGGTGGTGGCGGTGGTGGCAGCAGTAGTGATGGTGGAGGTGGTGGAGATAGTGGTGAATAGAGAAGGAAGTGGAGGAGGCGGAGGAGGAAGAGGTGGTTTGCAGAGAACAGTCGGCTCGAAAGTAAGGGAAAGGGGTTGTTTCGTCGTACAAGAGCAGCAACTACCTACCCCTGCCTATCCGTTACCTATCTGCTTATGCTACTACTAGCTAGCTAGTTGTATAAGCTTTCTCTCTCTTCTTTATTATCTTCTCACAAAAATGGACTATTTTTCTATAACATTATTTTTGTTGTTGTTAACTTCAGCACGTTGACAGCGATTGATTGATTAAACTTCGATTATTATTATTATTATTGTTTGACGTTTAAAGCGAAATTATTATTATTATACTTTATTATTCGAAATATATTTATTGAAATTAATGTTAATAAACGATATCGCAAAACGCGCGTCTAGAAAAAAATACAATATTTTTATTTAAACATTGAATAATGCTCGATAAACTCATTTCGTAAGTTCGTACTAACTAATTAACACGGTCTCTGGCAACTTAGATCGGAAACTGCAATTAACGGAGAAAGGGGATGAAAAGGTGAATGAACGGACTGCGATGGAACGTATCTAGGAGGACAGGTACGAGCAACACGGCAGTCGTTCTTTATGCTCAACGAGCTCTTTAGAAGTAAAGTTTAATGCTATTCCACTTTTAGGTAGGTACCATCTGCCTGCCCGGTTATAGATAGAAAGAAGAAGAAAAAAAAAGAAGGATGAACAAAAAGAGTAGAGAAAGGAAAATGAAATAGGAGGTAGGAATAAAAGGAGCCGAATTAATCGATCGGCCGATTATACTATCGGTGCATTAACCAATTCCCGAGCAAAAAGATATTTCAAAGTCGAAAATAAATAAAGATTAAGTAATCCAAAGTGAACGTACGCACGCATGCAAAACTCACGCAAATCATTTTATACTTGATTCTTATTCTATATCCGCAAGTTTTATTTTTATTTATTTTTAATCTATCAATGAATATCCAACAATTTCATTTACATTAACAATCTTATTATAGTTGTGTTTAACTAAAATGTACTCTTCAAAACCGTTTCCTTGTTTTTTTTTTTCAAAATAAAAGAAATCCGTCTTGAAAATAATGATCACGTGTTTAGATATGATAAAATGATTAATCGATCATTTTGATTCACGTTAAATAAAGCGACGAGAGAAAAGTAATTTCTTCATTTAATCTCCAACAAATCGTTTTAAGTAAAAGAAAAAGTATAAAAAATAAATTAAAAATGCTTAACAATTAGGAAACATATTTAAAACATTCCAGATTATTTTGAAGTTCGCGTTAGCCGACCATTATCGAGCATCGCAAATTCTCTTGAATGTTTTCGAGCTGACAGGATAGGTGGATACCAGTCGGTCTGATAGAAGGTACATACTCGGCTGGGGAAAGGGAGGAGGAAAAGAATCGAAATAGGGTGAGAAACCTCCAGGCAAAAGGTAGACGAGCAAGTGAATGCTTTCTGACTGGTGTCACGGATCATGGTCATCTTGAAAGCTTCTAAAAGGAATATCTCGGTCGCTTTCTGAAAGCTATCTTTTCGCAAAGGGAATGACTCACTTCGGTGTGTGCGTAGAGTAGATACGTTACTTATATCTGGTACGAGAGATATATTACCTTCTAACGTTGAGAATTCTCACTCACTTTTCCCCTCTCGTGCCATTGCAATGCGCCAATATATTATAGTTAAGAATAGCGAAAAAATCTACGTTTAAATTTAGTTCCTTTATCTTTCATTCAATGTTTACAATCAACAAATATTACTTTTAAATAATCATAACTCGTTTTGCTAACTTAACAATAAATTGTTAAATAACAACAAAATTCGATCGAAGGATTTATTATCTTATCGTAAAACCAAACGTTTATCCCTTTTCGTAATGCCGTAACTTTTAAAGGACAACTCTCAAAAGGACAGCCGATAAATGCTAGATACTGGTTGATCCGCGTGTGTGACTTTGATCACAGAGATCCGTTTAGTTGGGTTAAATCGAATTACGTTTCTATACTGGTATGGGATCAGTTTGTGCTAATACAACGTGTACAGCTATGCTAACACGCGAATTTGCAAACAATTGTAATGTCTATGCTTAAATATCAAATGTATTTATTAATGGTATGTATAGATTTCTATCGATGCATTATAGAAATTGGAATATACTACAAGCTGACGAAACAATAGTAACAAAGTAGATGAATCGAACGGAAGACATTGATTTTATGATAAAACGAATAAGTGCATTAAGGAATAAGTAATATTTGTATGCATGTGCGTAAAACATACTCTAATGAAGATATATTTAATTAGATGAGAAAAGAAAGAATTTCATTGATTATTATCGATCAAAAATCATCTAAAAAGTATACACCTGTACGTGTGTGTGTGTAATAAACGTATCAGTTTCGTGATTACGTTACTTTGATAATTTTCCTGTTTAAGTATAAAGTAAAATAAAATAATAGTTACTTAGGAAAAAGGATCAAGTTTAAAAGTAGTAGGTAGTAGAGCATGTTGCACAAAGAATTATTATAGTCATTGTAAAGGTTTAGAAGTCGAGTGCCGTTTTGCATTCGATCACATCTTATCGATCGGTAACATGCTACTACGTTCGAGTTATAGCCAGAGATCGTGGTACGACGACTAAAAGTCACAGTGCTTTTAATCTTTCGAACTGACCGATCGAGATGCGAGATAGTAGTCGGCACGACGAATGATCGTTCCTTCACGCGACACCGTTTATCGGATTTTTACGAGGAAACGTTAGTTACGTTTAACATTTCGTGTAAGAAATAGAAATCGTCTCGCATGTCGTCTTTCGATTGAAAAGCAGCAATTCTTACGTTTACGTTTTATCATCATTCTATAATAGAATTTTTCGATAAACGCGTTAACAATTTTTATTCTCGTCGAATTTTTAATTACATTTTTTTTCTATTTGGATCAACACATTATTTTTTTTTCAAAAAATATTATATACTTAATAATTAACTCGTAGATAGAGCAAATATCGAGATTGTAATTTGAATGTTTGTAATATAATTTAATTTAATTACGTTATCGACAAATTTGTGTTTATTGTTTTTCCTTTTTTTATATGTATATTAATGATTGATATATACATATATATAAAATTATTGAATTTTTATTATGTATCATCAAAGCACGTTTATTTAAACATGTTTGTTTCGAATATACAACCGAGGCAGCAGTAGTCGACAGTCTACTGCAATATTCTTCTTTACCAGTCGTAGATAAGCCGATAAAATTAAATAAATACTATAGTTCTGTAGATAAGATGCTTTTCATATTTTAGGAGGATTATCTTATCTATTTCGTTTAAATATCAAAAATAATCCGCTTCAATATTTTATTTGCTTATAGTATTTATTTAAAAAAATTATTTCCAACCCATTACGAAAACACTATGCAAAAGTTTATTTGTAATTTTTTATATGCATCATACATCTATGGTGTATATATATATATATATATTACATTTCTAAAACATACTCGTAGGCAAGAGACAATGCGAATCATTCAAATTTGAAACGCTTAAACTTCATTCTTCTCAACGACTTATGCTATAGATTTTTATAAACGAACGCGTGATATCCTATACTTTAAATTTTCTACCAGAAAACCTTACAAAAAATTCGCATACAAAAAAGAAAACAGAATAGCAACTAATTGATGACACTGACATTTTAGCCAGTAATTTTCGCCGGTACTGTGAAGCAAGAGACAATATCGTTTCCATTTCGTAAAGCGTAGTATACAACTAAATTGACCTGAAAGAAAAATAATTTTATAATAAATTATATTTTTATTATTATTATTATATATGAATTTCGTATCTAAGATTTATAATAATTATTTTTAATTTCATATATCAATGCATTATCAAGTAAATTCCAAACTATAATGTGCTTTTTATAATTTAAATCTCGCGATCGAATATAAATTTAGTATTATTTAAAAATAAAATATCTCATTCGCATGTTCGAAAAAGTTAGACTATTGTTTTTGAAAATTATCTTTCCTTGTATTGTGACCTATATATTATACTTTTATCTAAACTATGATAATTAAATAAATTAGTGTGTATAGTATAACAGTTCAAAATGAAATGTACATACCTTCGGATATATATCCAAAATAGGAAACTCAGTTTTGTAGACATACGTCGTACCTTTTTTCACGGGACATCCGACTTTGTTGTTATCGACATCATAAATATTATCGCATGCATTCATACCATCTACTCCTATGAAGGGCAAATCGATGCCAAGTAACGTAGCATGAACAGATGTAAGCAATTGCTCAGCATCTTTTTCAGGTACGAAAGTTTGTTCTATAGAAATGCGATTTTTCTTTTTCAAAGTACACGGTGGTGTATCACAGCCAGATATTTTCACCTGATTGGCATCCTCGTAAGGTATATTTTCTAAAAATAAAAAAAAATGGTAAAAATAATTTCAGAGATATTTATTTTACATAAAAATGTAATTTTAACTAATGTAATTATTTGATTAATTATAAAATTCATTTGTATACAAAGGTTAAAACTTCGTAGAATTATAATACTCATCGATAATATTAAACGAAACTATGAGTCACGTGTAAACACAGAGTCCAAGTAAATATTCAAATTCTTGCATTGAGAATTGGAAATTTTTAAATTCAAATTTATATGCTTTATTAATTTTATATATTACCAATTTATTTTTATGACATTAAATAAAAGCGACATCCGTGCTAATTTTGTTTTACAAGTTTTATACGACTATTACTTACATTAATATGTGCATATATGCATTTTTAATATATAAAACATAAGATTAAATTCCGATTAATGCCTCACGAAGCAGATACTTTCGAATTTGATGAATTTGCTTGTTATTTCAAGGATATTCCAAGTTAATGTAATTATGTGAGCAAAAACTACATACGAAGATATTTCTCAGAACTGACTTCTAAGAATACTTCATAAAAACTGACTATATTTAAACAGAAAAATAAATATTATTATACGACTATTAAGAATAATAAAAAAATAATGACATAAAATATTGTAATATTAAATTCATGTCTTTCACGCTAATCTTTAATCTTGATTTATTTTTTATTCTAAACGCAATTTTACTGATATAAAAATTAAACAAAGACAAAATACAAATTCCAATTTCATTTCAATATTATTACATTTAACTGTAATCAATTATAAATGCATATCGATGCGACCAATAATTTTCGATTTTATAACAATAAATTTTCCTACATCCTATGAATAAATTTAAATTGTTATCTCCATCCATCTCTTCTTCCTTTCAAAGAAACAATAACAAAAAATTCTCGACGATTATATTTCTATTTAAAAAAAAAAATATAATCGTAATGATTTCAAATTGCATCTCGCAATAAGTGCATCAAGAAGACGCGTATATCTACGATAGATGAGAAAATATAGGATTTCGAAAATGATATAATCAGTGTGATCTTAACGGAAATACGATACCTTTTATTGTGACTACAAGGCCGAACGAATTTATGCTTTTGTATTATCTACGAGTAGATATGATTCTATTATAACTATTGTTATTACCATATTTGATGTTATCAAAAGAAAATAATTTATTTTCAACGATATTTAACAACAATTTTATCATAAGGAATAAAATTTTCCAAAATAATCAATTAAATATACATTATTGTTACGTCTTGTATAAAAAGTGTAGTCAATTTTTGATCAAACTGTGAAGCCTTTTCCAGAGAGTGACCTAAAGAATTATGAGTGTATTGGCAACACTGAGACGCGGGTCTGAATAATGTTTGCCGTCTGGTCCTTTAGTTTAATATAGTAATAATTTTAGTAATAAATTTTTCTTGGGTTACATGACAATTGCTTACGACGAGGAAAAAAATATCGAGCGTAGCAGATGGAAAAAAAAAAACAAAAAAAAACGACGAAAAATATCAACGAATATTTATTTATACGACAAAAATTCTTGGTAAATATCAGTAAATGTAATAAAAATTGATTCAACTTACTACTACAATGATTAACTTGTGTTCCAGATACCAGAATAACGACGACAGTCGCGAAAACGAACAAGGTTTCCCTCAGCATGTTGAGTGAAAGCTAACAGTCTTCTTGGTAATTATCTTTGTATACGAAAAGAAGATTACTTAGGATGGATCCAATCAGGGTCAGATCTGGCTGCCGACTGAGCGGAATACCGGTTCTACACACCGTAATACCGAAGCTTGTCCTTTACGCAGACCATTATAAAGAAAGGTGAAACTGATACATTGCCAGTCGGGGGAAAGTACTTTGTGGGGGCTTCCCTCTCCACAGACACACAGACACACACACACACACGCACGCAAACACATTTGACCATATTTATTTTCTTCTTATCTTTTCTTTTATTCATGATTTAAATATATTCCGAATAGAAGGAGAAAAACAGGTTCAATCATTTAAACCTTATAAATCTTACAAGGAGACGGTCAGTGAGCCACACCTCAGATTTTTTTGCAAATTTTATAAACACTTGTAGTACTCCATGAAGAAAATTCATTATGCCTATAAACTAAGCGTAGGTATTAAATTAGGTACGATTCAAATTTCACATAGATACGTATTTCTTTGGGTGTAGTAGTGTAGTAATCTTCAATAACAGCGTTGTGTGTGTATTTTGACATCGCCGATACCTATATCTTATCTTGACAGGGCTAACAAGTATGTCTACCTTTCCTTTATTTCTTTTTCTTTTCTTTATTTATATAGTAATTTTATCCTAAGTTAGTCAAAAAAAAAAAAAAAAAAAAAAGAAAAAAAAAATACAACAACATCTGAACCAATAAGTTTGACGAGAGAGAAATATATTTTATTATTTCGTTTTATGTATATTAAAATGATTATATACGATGATGAAATAGTTGACCTTACGGATATACATATTTTAAAGTATCATTGTTATTATATTACGAAGAGAAACAAAACAAATTATCTTTCTGCATTTTATTTCTGTCATTAATTATATTGAAGGAAGTAATTTGTTTGGTCGTTTCTTCCACCGTCTTTGGTGGTCGACTTCCTGATAATGTCTGTTGAATGTTTATTTCGTTTTTGTCAATAGGAAGAGAAATACATAGTTATTTAATATTCTGAACATTGGTTTGAACGAGACATCGCATACGAGATACAAGTCTCAAAGAAAATATCTACTATGAAACATCGATGACCCTGACCTTGCGACGTTGAGGAAGACCTTTCGATAACTATTTTCCTATTCTACATACAACAGTACTGTATTATAACGTACTCTTTTTATAACATCTCAATACTGTACGATACACGTTTTTTGTTTATAATTATCTGCTTCAATTTTTCTTTTTAGTATTCTTTCCGATATAGAATACTAATTATTTTCAGCACGTTTATTCAGATGTAAACTATTGATTACATATTTTCATTTTTTACAAGTTTAAAAGATATCATAATTGTTATAAACGTAAGCATTTTTCTGAAGCGTTTAATCATTAATTTATGTAGCAATTAATTTTTTTACTACTATTAAAAAAACTGGAATCAATAGAAATAGTCAATAGTTCTATTTATCCTATTGGTTTTTATATAACACGATTTAGTAAACAGGTAATCCTACTACAATACGGCATTTTATATCTTATTTTGCTATAACATGATTCATAAATTGCGAAAACCATTGTACAACACTTTGTACTTTTACAGCACTGGATAACATGATTTTGTTGAATATATTTAAAAATTAAATTACCTTAAAATAATGACGTGAAAAAATAATGAACTCTGGGTCTCTTATAGCACGGTTTCACACAATATTTCTAAGAACCTATCTACCTTGTTTTAGTAAGGTATATCAATGCGTTTATTATTTTTCTACAACAATTGCTATCTCAAATATTTTGAAATGATTATTTACAATCGAATAAACTTTTTAATATTAGATTTATATAATTATTATTTAAAAAATATAAATTGTGTATTAAACATCTATTTTATTTATCTATATTATCTGATCCAGATTAAATGACCGTTCGATGTTCTTGTAGTAATCTATCTTATCGGCAACTTTATTTCTACAAAGTTAAATTTCGTAAGATAACTTATCAACTAAGATTAGAAACTTTCTTTTCTAAACACTTAGATGACGTTATACATGTGTTTACTATCATTTTAGAATTTACTTATAAAATAAATGGTAGTCTAGAAAAACGGGCAAATATTAAAAAAGAAATTCATTCTCTATAATATATGTCGAGAAGAAATTATTTTAAATACTTAATGGTTTTTTTGCATATCCAATTATTTTTCAAATAATCGTAACATCAAACTCGAAAATAAGATTTATTTTAAAACAAATTTATAAGCGAGTAAAGATAAGTACTTATAAAAAAAACACTATCGATAGCATTACAAGTAGAATTTAAAATTGGATCGAGGATACACGAGGACCATAAGTTTCTTTTCATTTCTCACATCGAGTCCTCGTAATCCTATTTATCAGCACACAGGTCAGGCTTGATCTGTAATTAATCCTCGGTAATCACTCAACGTATACATAACATTATGGTTCTTATACTAGAGATCATAGTTTTTCTTTAACAAATATCCAACTTGCATGTTATAATACTTAAATCACATTTTTGATTTTTTATGTTCGATCAAACAGTTTAAAAATTTAAAGGAATGTAACATCAAATTTACTTGTTGTCGCAATATATTATAACGAAACCAAAATGTTAATTACATTGTATGGCTAATAAAATAATAATATTAATCATTTCTAATTTCTCAATATTTGATGCCTTATTAACTATTTTAAAATAGAAATTTCTAATTTAGATTTCGACACGGTTTTCTCTGTTCATCAAAAAATCATTAAGATGTTCGAATGAGCGAGTGTCATTTTCAAAAGTAGACAGCATACACATAACTACGCTTTTCAGTTATCTCAAACGGGATGTTTTGGACTATGACTGAAAATAGATCCATTTTAAATTCTACTTTCGTCCCTAAAGAATATTGGAAATGGTCAGGACGACAAAATAGAATCCTATTTAGTTGAGATGTAACGCGTTGCGATCACTAAAAGCATCACTCTTCGGTGTAAAAACCTAGATTAGTAGTAACGGATTACAAGGTGCATGAAAAAGTGCAAAACCAAAGAGACAGCTATTGGTAAAAAGTGCTTCTGTATGTCTAACTCTTTTTATTATTTATTTCGACTAGAGAACATCCGGAAACTCGAGAGTTCGTTCTCAAGATAGGGAGAAATGAATAAACATATCTAATTGTAAAGTTATACCAGTTTCAGTTTTTCCAAACGTTTTCCCCATAAGACTTTTGTAACATCTTAAACATAAATCAATTTTAAAATATCAGGAAAATAAACATTAAAAGAGAAACAAAAAATACAATTATTATTTTGTTTAGTAATAGAGTATAAAATAAAATAAAAAAGTGTTATTTAAGTAAGGTTTACTTGTTTGGAAAAACTATTATCCGCTTACGTGCCGATCATTAGACCTTCTCGAAAGTAATAGGATTTTCTTCGTATTTCGAACGATTCGCCGTTTGCAACGTGCGCTTGTCCGGCGTCTATTTTCGAATCCACTATATTTATAGCTAACCTTACCTTTACTGGCTCGATCTACGCTACCTCTTTCACGTAAATGGTATTGCGAGGATTCTGCTGCTACCTTGGCGCAAACTGCTTTAGCTCCAAGATATCACCGATATTTCTCATCGAGAATAGAAGCAGAAAGATCGCACTGATACCAATAAATACATACTACACGTTTCTTCAAACATTTCAAACACATCAACCAAGTGTTTTCATCGAATAAATCATCATTTATTTCAAAGGAAGAACAAAAATGTTCTACGTTTCAATTATACGTTAACAGGGACAACATTGTATAAGTCGAGTATGTAAAAGCAAGAAAGAAAAAATAACATGACTATGAAAATAATTACAATCTGAAAAAATAATCTTCCTCCTGAGCACACCAAGTGTAGTATGCCACTCCTTGTAAGTAGCTTTCATGGTTATCTTTACTGTAGCAATAAGAGCTCCAACGCAAAGAAGGAAAATCAACGTGACGAGGATAAACTAATGTTCTCTTTGGAACAACGATTGAATTATTATTACGGCCGTCTGAACGATGGACGTCTTTCTTCAAGCATTTATTCATCTTGTATTTTTTTCTTTATTTTTACTGATATACACGGATTAGATCAAGTATTCTAGTTTAAAACTCGATTATATTTACATTTCTTAAATATCGCGTATCATACGAATGAAAATTGTTTTCGGAATAAAATATTTGGAAGTAAAATGAAAACACCGTTGCACTATATTCATATTTATTATGGATTTTATTTAATATAAATGACGAATGCAACGGTCAGCCAATGAGTTCTTAGGATAATCTTGGAAAAGAGGGATAAATAACCAGACTAGCGGTAGACCGATTCGTTTAGTCGTTTATATTTGGATTCTGATCTCTTTTACTACTACTGCAACACTGTGTAATTCCTACGGATGCATTCTTCATCGGTTATGTGTCATTTCTCTATTCAAATATTCTCTCTCTTATCCATACCTTTCTATTTCTAAAGTAAAACAAGTGTAAAGTATAATTAGATTCTTTTGTTGCTAATGTTTGTACCTCTTTTATCGATTGTTTCTTGGCTTAGAAAAAATGCTTCCTTTGAATTACCATTCAAAGATCTTTCAATGTTTCATTAGAAATGAACACGTGACAGCATACCGGATACTATAATACGTTAGATCATTAAGAGTGAAGACATCTAATGAACTCATTTTTATGAGTTCATAATAAAACTCTTAACGAATGCTCAGAATATTTTTAATGAAATTAATATTGCGTTAATTACTCGAAAGTATTTCAATGATATTGTAATTGCATTAAGTACTCGAAAATATTTCAATATTGTTTTTGATCATAGAGTAATTATTATTTATATAATATTATTTCATTTTAGTTAATAATAGTTTTTAATATTTTTTGTAAGCTATATGAGATAAAAGATTAGAATATTTCTAATGAAATTCTGATCGCATTAAATACCCTAAAGTATTCCAATATTATTTTATGATATCAGTAATCATCTTTCAGATATTTCTAATGATATTTCTTTCATCGATTGTAAAGACCAAAGTTGGTAGATATGAAAAAGAGTAAACGTTAAGTTAGTCATTCTCAAGAGATAAAGAAAGAGGAAA